ATATATATTGAAATTTTCAAAGGCTGCAGAAGAAGCTGGGTTTCACTGTAGGAGAATGAAAGTTCTGGAGGGGGATTAAGGGACTCTGCAGCAGATTTAGTTGGCACTATAGGGGATAAGGTTTTTGGAGGAAGCTGGGGGCAACTGTGGGGGCTGGGGTCTCTGGAGGGGGCTGGGGGTTTGGCAGGGGCAAGTTAGGAAACTGCAGTGCACTGCAGGGGCTGTGTACCCGTATAGGTGCTTGGAGGCTCTGCAGCAAGCTAAGAGATACTGTGGGAGGTTGGCAGGCAATGTGGGGTCTGATGGCTCTTAAGGGACCTGGAGGCACTGTGAGATGTTAAAGTGCACTGCAGGGTCAATGTGGGAGGATGTTTGCACTGTGAAGGTTGGGGGTTCTGTAGTAAGCTGGAGATTTGGGAAGAGGGAGACAGCAGCCTTGCAGTAGGCCATGGCTTGGTAGTTGAGAACCATTGACTTAGAAGAATCTCATTAGACAGCCAGCACATGTATTGGGATGAGGATTAGGAACTGTTGCGTGGTAAAATGGTAATCTGCCACTATGTGGTTTGAAGTGGGTACAAGGGAGGTCATGATACTGCTTAGCATTTCCAATTCTTTATCCCCAGTTGTGTGGGAATTGCACAAGCGAAATACTATAGTTACAAGCATTAGAGGTGTAGGAAATAGTATGACTGTGATTATGCCTGTATATAAGTGATTCCCCCCTACTTCCCACCTTGGAGACACAACATGAAGGAAATGAAAATCTCTCAAAAGTGAAACAAATTCCCACTTAGACAGTTGTCAATGGATTAGGTGTCCCTCCTGTAAGATTTCCCTTTGCTTCCTGTGTCCGTGACCACTATAAATCTTTGGATTCCCCTGCAGTTTCTGTCCCAGGGACACTGGTTGCTAGAACATACAGGGTGAATCTCCCCAGCTGGGCACAGGCAGCATTGAAAACCTGGAAAAAATTCTCGCCATTCTATTCAAAACTTAAGAAGAAAAAAGTTTGGGCTATCCTTGCATTTGTATTTACACATGTGCTGCAATATGTTTTATCATGCATTACGGTGCTGGCACAGCATTACCACTGACCATTCATTCTAAATGGGGCCCTAACATGGGGGAAAAAATTCACTCCTTTTATTTTATTTTTGCAACAATGCCCTTACTGACTATTTTTTCTTCTTCTGCACTTAACCAGAAGAAACTCCATTTTTATTAGGAGGATGCTTATGATTGGGCGCTTTACTGACACCAACATTAAAAACTTCCAGCCACTATGTCTGCCAGGAGTTTGTCTACCTGTTTAGTCCCTGCTGCTGGCTAACACTTCCAGTACAAAAATTGTGACATAAATAATTGCAGCTGCCACACTTTTATTCTACAGCATTTCTGCTTTCAGAAAATAAATGTTAGGGGGTTTTATAATCTTCAGACCTAAAACGTAAATTTTAACATATCTGCTAAAAATGGGAAGAAAAAGCAAACCGGTTAAGCATCCCAGCAGTTAACAAGCTCTTCATAGAAATAAATAGCGATTCTACCACACATGATGAAAAGCAGAAGAGCACAGCTATGACATTTCTGTAGCAATGGCTATGTCTCTTCCAATGGGCCACACAGTTAAAAAGGATCTTCAGTCTTAAAAAAAAATCAGTAGCTGTTGACTATTAACCACTTCCAGACCGGACACTTTTACCCCCTTCCTGACCAGGGCAATTTTCAGCTTTCAGCGCTATCACACTTTGAATGACAATTGCGCAGTCATGCAACACTGTACCCAAATTAATTTTTTACCATTTTTTTGAGACAGATAAAGCTTTATTTTGGTGGTATTTATTCACCGCTGGGATTTTTATTTTTTTTTGCTATGTAAATGAAAAAGTCCAAAAATTTTGAACAAAAGTGTTTTTTTTTTTTATAAAGTTTTGCAAATAAATAATATTTCATCATAAATCTTTGCCAAAATTTATTCTGTTATCTTTTTGGTAAAAAAAAAAAAAAAAATTAGTTTATAACCAAAAATTATAATTTTTTAAACATTTTTTTTTACATTTTTATTTTATTTTTTTATATTATTATTTTTTATTTATTTATTTATTTATTTTTTTTACATACTGTCACCCTAGCAGTACAGTGTCACCATGGTGACACTGTACTACTTGTGGGGGGTGATGAAGATTTTTTTTTTTTTTTTTACACTGATTGCTTTTACACCCATATAGGATGTAAAAGCAATCATTTCTCTTTCTCTCTGTGTGCATTCCTGCACTCATTGAGAAGTACTGAGTGAGTTGTGATTGGTCACAGCTTGTCACATGGTACAAGGCTGTTGTGAATAGCCTTGTACCATGTGACCTCTGTGATCATTCACAGATTTCACACATAGTAAGCAGTGATGTCAGAAGTGACATCTTGCTTACTACTTTGCATGTGATCATTGATTGGCCAATCAGTGATCACATGATCGGGACCTCGTACAGAGGTCCCGTCCGACGATTAGTGTTTCACTGTGTCCGGAGGACACAGCGGGCACCGGATTGCGGTGCTGCGCGCTCCCAGGGAGTGCGCACAAGCAGGGTGCGGGGGAGGCCGTTCATAAACGGCCACCCGACCCTGCAGTGCCACCGTCCGGCCGTTTATATGCAACGGCCGGTCGGGAAGTGGTTAATAAAAAGACACGTATCTGTCCAGGGATCCAGCACTGTCCCTGGCCGGGAGGGGTGAACTTCTGCTCAGATCACCTAGGTCAGGGGTGTCAAACTGGTGGCCCTCCAGCTGTTGCCAAATTACAAGTCCCATGAGTCATTGCAAGGCTGGCTCCCAAAGGCAGAGGCATGATGGAACCTGTAGTTTCACAACAGCTGAAGGGCCACCAGTTTTACACCCCTGACCTAGGCGATCCAAGCAGAAGTGGGAGTGAGTACCTGTCAACATTAGATACCCGCTCCGTGAAAAAAAATAAAAACAATCTTCAAACCTGGGAGAGAAGGGGTGGAGGAGGAGACCAAGCAGAAACCCTTTTAAGGAGAAGTTCCGCTTTAAGATTCTACAATAACGGGGCAGCCAATTACAAGATTAGGGGTGGCTTGCTGGCGGGCATTTAAAGGGTACCTTTATAGTTGCTCTTTAACTTTAATAACTGAAATAGACCTTACATTTGGGCCTCATTCACATAGGAGGCTTACAGCGCTCACAGCCATTCATGGCAAACAGTCTGTGTCCAGGACCGATTATCCACAAGTAATCAGTGCATAGTTGTTCTGCTTTTAGTACCGTTATCCTTTAAATGGCCATCAGCAGGCTACCCCATGTCTTAAAATCGCCTGTCCTCGTTCCTGCAGAATCTTCAGTGTGTGATCCACTGGGAGCAGCATCACCATTGTTGCAGAAATTACTCATGGAGTAGAAAGCCTTATTATTCCAAAGAAGAGTTTGTTGACCATTGGGATGCTTAACCCTTTCTCTGTGATGAAAGCCTTCTTTTTTTTTCCCCTGCAGGAAACCCCAAGGAGTCTCCTGCAGGGAATAGTCGTCGCCCCTATATGCAAGTGTGAATGAGACCTGAATCTGTTGCACTGTCAGCTCAGCCCCCAGAATAGCAAGGAGCTGTTCCTCAGACAGATACTGATCTTGTCTAGCTAGACACAGGCATTCTATGCAAGCTGCTCTCTACCTTTTTGTTTCGCAGTAATTTATGCCAGAGAACAATAACTAGATGTTGCTAAGCAAGTGTTACAAATACAACTACAGTATCTCTCAGAAGTGAGTACACCCCTCACATTTTTGTAAATATTTTATTATATCTTTTCATGTGACAACACTGAAGAAATGACACTTTGCTACAATGTGACGTAGTGAGTGTACAGCTTGTATAACATGTAAATTTGCTGTTCCCTCAAAATAACTCAACACACAGTCATTAATGTCTAAACCGCTGGCAACAAAAGTGAGTACACCCCTAAGTGACCAGGTCCAAATTGGGCCCAATTAGCCATTTTCGCTCCCCGGTGTCATGTGACTCGTTAGTGTTACAAGGTCTCAGGTGTGAATGGGGAGCAGGTGTGTTAAATTTGGCGTTATCGCTCTCTCATACTGGTCACTGGAAGTTCAACATGACACCTCATGGCAAAGAACTCTCTGAGGATCTAAAAAAAAAAGAATAATTGTTCTACATAAAGATGGCCTAGGTTATAAGAAGATTGCCAAGACCCTGAAATTGAGCTGTAGCATGGTGGCCAAGACCATATAATAACTCAACACACAGCCATTAATGTCTAAACCGCTGGCAACAAAAGTGAGTACACCCCTAAGTGAAAATGTCCAAATTGGGCCCAAAGTGTCAATATTTTGTGTGGCCACCATTATTTTCCAGCACTGCCTTAACCCTGGGCATGGAGTTCACCAGAGTTTCACAGGTTGCCACTGGAATCCTCTTCCACTCCTCCATGACGACATCACTGAGCTGGTGGATATTAGAGACCTTGCGCTCCTCCACCTTCTGATTGAGGATGCCCCAGAGATGCTCAATAGGATTTAGGTCTGGAGACATGCTTGGCCAGTCCATCACCTTTACCCTCCGCTTCTTTAGCAAGGCAGTGGTCGTCTTGGAGGTGTGTTTGGGGCCGTTATCATGTTGGAATACTGCCCTGCGGCCCAGTCTTCGAAGGGAGGGGATCATGCTCTGCTTCAGTATGTCACAGTACATGTTGGCATTCATGGTTCCCTCAATGAACTGTAGCTCCCCAGTGCCGGCAGCACTCATGCAGCCCCAGACCATGACACTCCCACCACCATGCTTGACTGTAGGCAAGACACACTTGTCTTTGTACTCCTCGCCTGGTTGCCGCCACACACGCTTGACATCATCTGAACCAAATAAGTTTATCTTATCAGACCACAGGACATGGTTCCAGTAATCCATGTCCTTAGTCTGCTTGTCTTCAGCAAACAGTTTGCGGGCTTTCTTGTGCATCGTCTTTAGAAGAGGCTTCCTTCTGGGATGACAGCCATGCAGACCAATTTGATGCAGTGTGCGGCGTATGGTCTGAGGACTGACAGGCTGACCCCCTCCCACCCCTTCAACCTCTGCAGCAATGTTGGCAGCACTTATACATCTATTTCTCAAAGACAACCTCTGGATATGACGCTGAGCACATGCACTCAACTGCTTTGGTCGACCATGGCGAGGCCTGTTCTGAGTGGAACCTGTCCTGTTAAACCAGTGCATGGTCTTGGGCACCATGCTGCAGCTCAGTTTCAGAGTCTTGGCAATCTTCTTATAGCCTAGGCCATTCTTTTTTTTTTTTTTTTTTTCAGATTCTCAGAGAGTTCTTTGCCATGAGGTGCCATGTTGAACTTCCAGTGACCAGTATGAGAGTGATAACACCAAATTTAACACACCTGCTCCCCATTCACACCTGAGAACGCTAACAAGTCACATGACACCAGGGAGTGAAAATGGCTAATTGGGCCAAATTTAGACATTTTCACTTAGGGGTGTACTCACTTTTGTTGCCAGCGGTTTAGACATTAATGACTGTGTGTTGAGTTATTTTGAGTGGACAGCAAATTTACATTGTTATAAAAGCTGTACACTGACTAATTTACATTGTAGCAAAGTGCCATTTCTTCAGTGTTGTCACATGAGAAGATATAATAAAATATTTACAAAAATGTGAGGGGTGTACTCACTTCTGTGAGATACTGTATAGTCGGTATAAAGAACCATGTCACATATTAATGGGAATAGTGAAGATAGTGTTTTTAATTGTATCATTAGCATGTCTGCTTAAAACACCTATTTCTCCTTCAATGATGTACGCTAATGAGGCCGTAGTGATGGGCACTGATAGGTGGCACTGATGGGCATTGACAGGCATCACTGATGGGCACTGATAGGGGCACTGACTGCACTGTTAGGCGGCACTGACTGGCACTGATAGGCGGCTGATAGCTGGCACTGATAGCTGGCACTGATTGGCAGCACTGATAGGTGGCACTGATTGGCATTGATGGGTGACACTGAAAGGCAGATCAGATGGGCACTGATATGTGGCATTGATGTGCACTGGTAGGCACTGATATGTGGCACTGATGGGCACTGGCAGGTGGCATGGATGAGCACTGAGAGCTGGCACTAATGGACACTGACAGCTTGCACTGCTGGGGCTACACTGATGATCAGTGCACATGTCCCCTCTGAGGGATGCCGATTACGGTTCTCCTCTCCTCACGAGCTGTCAGCGTGACAGCTCGTGAGGAGTGAAATGCCGATAACTGGCATTTCCCTGTTTACATGTGATCAGCTGTGATTGGACACAGCTGATCACATGACCAAGCCGACATCTTCGGCTCTTTCCGTGGATCGGTGATCCGTTCCGATCGCCGCGCTGTGCGCTCCCGGAGTCGCACATGCGCGGTGAGAAAGGGATGACGTCCTCCCAGAACGAGAGAACCGCCTTGCGTCCGTCATTGGACTATATGGTGAGCGGAAGGTGGTTAAAGGATAATTCACCTTTTGGAACATGTTGACATGTTCCTGCTCCTGCAGGTGTCCCTCCTCCCACCCCCTGGGATAGTGGGTTGAGGAGCTTCTCCCTCCGCACATGCTGTCACAATTTGAAAAAGAGCGTGGCCCCACCCATAGAGTTCTCGGAATGAATAGATGTCAAGTACAAGACAGCTGACAGCTTGTAGTGTTTTTAACTACAAGGGCACTGATGAGCATCACAGCAGTTCATTGATTCTTCCTGTTATTCAGTAACTGCCTGCCTGTATTGGAGGTGCGGGGGCAGACAGCTACACTGACAGTCTGCAGGAGCCTGACATGGTGCAATGCTTTTCAGGCTCCTAAGAAAAACATAGTAAATGCACATTTTTTTTTTTACCTGTTTTTTTTTTTAAAAGGTGAACTTATCCTTTAATCCATGTCATGAAATTGGTGTTGATCTGTGGAATTTATTAAAAAATGTTCAGAATTTTCTGTTATAACTCCAGGGTTGTCATCTGCTAACATTGAATGGAAAATCTGTTCTCATGTTACACAAAGCATACAATAAAATCTGATTATGTAAAATTGATCATTACATCAAATAATCCTATATAGATTACTTCCAACTTAATCTCTTTATGGGGCCAAACTGGCATTGAGCTGAAAAGTACCACTTGGCTGCAGCTGGCAGTATTTTTGTTGGATGTACCAAAAGGAAGCATTTAGGCCGCGTACGCACAGTGAGCTGTAATAGTACCTGAGATCAGATGTGCAAATGCTGGCCTGCTCTGCAAAGGATTAGATGCGGCTTCAATATAAATGTTTGGGTTTCTGTTGTTTGTTCATTTACTGAGGAATGCAGAGCAAGAGCGAAAAGTGTATCCAGCTGTCCCTGTCTATTAAATATTAATGATCTGGGAGAAATGTTTTAGATTTAGGTTACGTGTTCGATAGTTAAATAGCTGAATAAGAGCCGTGAGGAGTTTCTAGAGAAAACAGCACCCCCTCCCGTGCCCACACTATGTCCCAGCTTGGAGAAAACCCAGTGCTCATTTAGGGAAGATTGACTGGGAGCCAATCAAGCATGAGCATATTTCCGTGCAGCCACAAATGGGATGTTATAGATCTCTGCTTTTCCACCTTATGCTGGGTACACACGAACTGAATATCAGCCTGTTCAACAGGAACCGACCAACATTCAGACAGTGTGTACAACTGCCTGTCCGACAGAAGAAGGTCCAACAGGCAGGCTGGAAAACCAGCTTCCGACCAGCAGCCAATCAGCGCTGGCAGCCTATGACTGTGGGCACGGATCAGCATGGGGGGTGCAGTCCCCCTGTCAGAAGTGAACTATGTATAAGTACTACTAATAGGCAAACACTAACATTCAAAGAAAACAGAAAAGTCAAGCCATGGCCAGCTGCAGGTCTTGTGCTTTGAATGACATAAACCACAACCAATCAAAGCCCTGATGTGGAAATCACCTAAATGACCCTAAGCGAGGGAGATCGCTGCACTAATATCACATAGTGCAGCGACCTCTCATTTTTTATTTTTGTTGTTCAGCCAACTGGGTTGAACGAAAAAAAAAACATAACGTGTGTACAAGGCTTTAGGAAACAGAGATCCAAGCCATTCATAAATGCTTGTACAGTTTAGTTTGGTCTTCCCTTAACTTTAACATGACCACTCCATTGTACAATTTATTATGGCATCTCCACCTATGATTTATTCATAGATAGCTTGGGGGGTAGGGTTTTATCATCCAGCATTTTTGCACAGCTGTCTTCTACCAGCAAAGGGATCTACATCTACACTTGCTATCAATCTGGGAGGCTTGAATGTGCTTTTTATTTAAGCCACGTGTGCCACAGCCTGTTAGTTCTTTGTTTATTCCAAACCACGACAGAGCAAGCAATGTAGAAATGTGGAGAAACCCCTGGACATGCAGTGCAGAATGTGTGCCTTGGGCTCTTTAGCTAATTCTTTATGGAGAATTATCCTGTGATAACTGTAGCTCAGATGAAAATCTGAGTTTGGCCCATCACAGCCATGTCATTGGTAATGTGGAGATTTTACACCCCAGCTCATGACCAGCAGTGAAGTCCAAATAGGGTGTTAATGTTCTATTCCACCCATGAGGTTCCTGCCATTACAGATCCTCTGCAAATCAATGGCCCACTCCTGGGGTCTGCAAAGGACTTCACAGCAAGTTCTAATGGTCTTGCTTGTGGCCCTCTGGCCCTCCATAAGTGTGCAATTTGAAGCTTTGGTGGCCCTGTAGGTGGCACGTTGCTGGCAGATGACAGTATGCTACAAGTCGCTGATGACACGGCTATCATGGTGGCACTGTGTGGGTCGGTATGTGTTTATGGACATCTTGGAGAAAACAATATCCTACCTGGAGGCTGACCGTGTAGGTGGGCTGAACACTTGCTAGGTTTGAGTAGTAAATATGGCTTTCAGACACTGCACAGTTTGTGAAGGTGGAACTCTGGTGAGCATAGTTTGTGAAACTGCCCTTTAGATGGGTAAAAATGGGATGGTGACCTGTGCAACGCTGTAATGACATCTTGAAAATTCCAGTTGCTGGGCTGTTTGCTGACTCACTGCCTACAATTGTAAAACCTCAGCCATGTCAGAGGTCCTTATCTGAGCACTTTGTCTGGGTCAGTGATTCGGAGTTCTTTATTAAGAGGATCAGTATGACAGCCAAGGAAATGGCATCACCACTGGCATCTTCTTCTCTGGAAAGGTACTGTAGCTGCTGATTTTTAAAATACAGCCACCTACCTTTCCCTCAGTCCAGCAGTGTCCTCACCACCGCTGGTTTCACTGGCAGTCTTCTCTCCCTGGTGCCGGCATCTTCAGTGTGTGCACCCGGCTGTGACAGCTTGCGACTTCACAGCCAGGTGCCCACTGTGCATGCGAGAGAAGCGCTGCACTTTGTGAATGGCCCTGTAGTTTTCTGGGACCGGTCATGTCCCAGAAGACTACAGGGGGGGGGGGGGGGGGGGGGGGGGGGGGGAGGACAACTTCCGTTTTCAATCGCCTAGGCCACAGGTGTCAAACTGGTGGACCTCCAGCTTTTGCCAAACTACAAGTCCCATGAGGCATTGCAAGTTTGACAGTTACAAGCATGACTCCCAAAGGCAGAGGCATGATGGGACTTTTCGCAACAGCTGGAGGGCCACCAGTTTGACACCCCTGGCCTAGGCGACCTCAGCAGCGGAAGTGGGAGCGGGTACCTGTCAAATTCGGGTCCCCCCCGCTCCCCAAAGGTACCAATTTTTAATGGGGGGCGGGGGACAAAGCATTAAAGCAGAACTTCCCCTTTTGGGTGGAACTCCGCTTTAGGAGTTGCTAGGACAGGTAACAACATATGTATACTACATAGAGAATTTACATTTCTACCAGTTAGTTTTTCTTTTTTTTTTTTTTTTTATTTATAGATCGAAAGCCAAAAGGTTTACAGTGGGTAATCGACGCGACAATTGGATACCCCAGTGCACATCCTATGGACATTCAGACTTGGATTCTGGGTTACCGACCCCCTACTGTCACTCATGTGTACTACAGGTATTAGTATGTTAATATTGTGGGGCGCGTGACTTGGGTTCCTTTGGATCAAGTAGGTCAGATAAGTGTGTTTTGGGCCACATACGGCCCTCTCACTCTTATTCGTAGCTTCGCCTATGTAGGTAAGGGGCGTCTGTGGATAAAAACAAACTATGTCTCTCTGACTAAAGCTGAAAAATGTCCTTGCTATAGGTGTAGGCCATTTACTTACCTCATGAAGCCTGACTGGCATACTCCCAGGATGTTGCTAAGTACTTCCAGGACGTTGCTAAGTGAGGCCTAGTCATTTACTTCTCACCCCCACCATCACAGCAGTGTGCTTTTTCTCTGATTCAAACCCCTTTTTTCTTCCCTGATGTAGTAGCTCTGACCTCAGTGCCTGAGAGCTCACTCCTGTGATAGATGGGGTTAAGCAGTAACATGTAGGCCTCACTTAGCAACGCCCTGGGGGTATTCCAGTCAGGCTTCATGAGCTACGTAAATGGCCTACACCTATAGCAAGGACATTATTCAACTATATTCAGAGCTGCACAGTTTGTTTTTATCTACAGACACCCCGTATCTGCACAGGCAGTTTTTTGGTAAAGTGAACTATCCCTTTAAGGATTTAAGAGCAAAGAATGGTCATGAAGAAGGGGGCCGGCCCCCCAAAATGCGTCAGATGGCACTGTCATCTGTTTGGTCCTCTGAGGCTAGAGGGCGCACTTCTAGTTTCTGGTTTTATGATATGCTACCAGTTATCTTTGGTTTGTGAGTATAATTTGTATCTTTCATTCTATAATAAAGTGGTGCAGATAATGCACTAGGCACCCTTCTGTTTTTGTTGTTTGTACAGTTCAAGATTCCCCGTCTGAGGAGGGCTGCACTGCCATAATCATCCAGTCCAAGTTGCACAGTGGTCAATGCATTTGTATTCTGAAGCCAGCTTCTCTTTTTTTCTATTCCTTAGCACTGAAATGTCAAGTTTTTATAGTTCATTCATCTACAGTGCTCAGCATGATTGAGTACACCCCAACAGATTTGTCAGAAAACCTTTCCTTTCCTT